TTTATCTCTATTGTCAGATTTGGGTACAATAGCAATTAATAAACCCTATAGACCTTAAACTTTAAACCCTAAACCGCCAAGGCATATGCCCACAACCTTTAACCCTAACCCCTCCCTGAATTCAGAACAGGTTTTAAACGGCAGGGATGATTTCTGCAGGATTGGACCCAAATGGTTTTTATTATTACTACGGGGGGATTCATAAAAGGGCGAAGGGATCAGGCCGCGGCTGTCAAGCCGCAAGGTTTTTGGTTTCGTAGGGACAAGTTTAGGTTGAGCTTGGGGCTGGGCGTGCGGTGGTCCATGAAGGATTGAACACATTCAAAACAGCCATCCTTAGCCCAACAGTCTTGGCCCGCCTACGGAAGATGCAAACTAGGCCGTAATTCCCCCCCCCCCACACACTCTCTCTCCAGACTCATCTTTCAAGTCTCCGAAGTGTCCTAAACTCCTGAAGCCTCAAGCTTCGAGGCTTCAAGTCCTAGGTCCTAGCTTGCCTCCAACAACTAAGCAAATCCGCGAGCTCTTAGTCCTACGCCGACAGCCCAACTAACGGCAGAAGTGGAATTCCAGACAGAAACAATTCTAGTATAGTCCTAAATAGGAGGACTGGTCCTTCTCATACAGAAAGGGACGCTGTAGGGGCCCTGTTTTGCCACCCTCTTCTCATAACGGTCTAATAGTCCCGGCAACAAGCGGGACCTTCAGACAAGGCACCATTTTAATGGGACCCCTGAACTGCAAGACTCAACCGGCCAGGCTTTCCCTATCAATCACGGGCCAACGGGCGGGGACCTCCTGGGTGCTGCGTGCAAGACCATCAAGGCCCAAGTTCGGCGTCAAGGATCAAGGGTTTGGAGCTTCGGGTTTACAGGGCTTCAGCGGTTGGCAGGGTTTGGAGTTTCGGGCTTAGGCTATTTATCCATCGTTTCGGATTTGGGGTTTTGGGTTTGGGATTGTCCTTGAGTGTTGCAGGTTGATGGTTCAACGCATTGTTTGGGGCTTCAGAGCTTCATCGGGTTTTAGGGTTTGGTTCATGATGATTGGAATCTTATACGGAATTGCCGCCAGATTGCCGGCTGAGAGCCTCGTTTACCTACAATCTTCCACTGGATAGTTCCAACCAAACTACCCGCTTGCAGATGCTAGAATACTCAGAAGCATGAAGCCCGGGGCCCGATAGGCCCCCAGTCCTAGGAGTCCCAAACTCGGACTTCGGATACCTGGCTGTGAATTACGGAGCATCCATTGAACTATACCTACTAGAGCGTTTTAACGTTTAGGGTCTGCTTTCGTTCAGGGGTTTAGAGTTTAGGGTTTCTTGCTTGGGGTGGTGGGACTAGCAAGGCCCCGAGACGCAGGCAAACTTCATGGACAAGGATCCTGAAAGCATTCACTTCAACATGCCTGCAGCTCAGAGGATTCTAGCAAAGGGTTCATCAAAGGGCTGCTATAAGAGTTCCTTCACCTCCTTGCATTGTAAGGTAGCCGTGGACCCTCAACCTCACAGTCTTGAGCCTAAGATGATACGTTTGTTTGCTTTGGCAGAGTCTGAGGCCTTGGAGAGATCTTGGGGACAAGCTTGGCCCGAACAATCAGAAGCCCTTGGCCCTATCTAGCCCCGAAGTTCAAACCGTCGAAAGAAGATGCTTGGAGCTTTGCGTTTCGGCTCTACGGTTTCCTGAAGCTGCCGACATCTCCCGACCGCCTTTACCACGTAAGTTTTATGGTGACATCACGTTACATCCTAAGCAGTGAATCTCAAACCTTTCGATATCCGGATGCAGGGTGCAGGGTTCAGGGCTTGGGGCTGGGCTTCAGGATTGTTGGCTTGGCTTGTGGGTTTCGGGCTTCCTTCTTCACCTGTCGATCAAGCCCTTCAGGGCTCAATGTGTCTCAAAGCGCTACTGAGTCACAAGGTCCTTCCGGCTAGTCCCACCGACGGGTCAGAGGTTCGAGGTTTGAGTTTCAGAGCTATTGGTCTACGGGTTTGTGGAGGTTTGAAGACGTGATATTGCGGTTAGTCCCTCTATAACTGCACTAGAACCTATTGAAAAACCCTATTCTAATCCTTACGGGCATTCAGGGTAGCACTTGAGGTTTAGGATTTAGGCTAAATGATTTAGGGTCTAAAGGGTTAGCGAACTTGATGTTCACGACATGGAATACGGCTCTACCGAGACCCTGCACAGAGCATCTTTCCACCTAAGGCCGCGGTAGAATCGTTATAAAGGACTCTGCAATTCTATAATATGTTGCTCAACAGCCTTATGATTCAGGCCCGTCCATTCTTTGCATTTTCGAGCGCCTCTCAGGCTCCTTGAAGTCAATGCATTCGAGACTTGCGACCGCAAGTGAAAGAAGTACATAGCCCCACAGACGCGCACCCGTAGCTGCAAGACCTTAGGGTTCAGGGTTGAGTATTCCGGATCCACGGATCCAGGTCTTGTTTTTCGGAACTTTATATGGCTTCGAGTCTAGGTGCCAAGCTAGCGAGCACAGCCACCAGGCCCAACAAGCGAATCGAGAGGAGGTTGTTCCAAGTTAGAGCTCTGTTTCCAACACTGGAGTGAAATCAGCCAAGCGCCTGAACCTCAAAACCCCAAAGGATCCCCGAAACCCTACTTCCCCAACCCCAGCCCATACCTGAAACCCTCCTTAACTTCATAAGCCCCAAATTTAAGGGGCTGCGCCCAGAGTCGGGCAACGCAGGCAATACATTCATGCATTCCTTAATTCATTCATTCGTTCATTCATTCATTCATTCATTCATTCAATCAATCCATCAATGAATTTTTCAATCAATCAATCAATCAATCATTCATTCAATCATTTAATCATTCGTTCATTCAGTCATTCATTCATTCACTCATTCATTGGGTGGGGGGCA